CCCCCTCGCCCATGCCGGCTTCGGTCAAGGAGATCACGGGTGCCAACTCGTCGTCCGATTACCTTGCGTGGGGCCAGCGCATCGCGATTCTGAAGGAGGCGCCGCACCCCGCGGCCGCCAAGCTCTTTGTCAACTGGATCGTCTCCAAGGAGGTTCAATCGACCGTCATGAATGGCTTCTCGCCGCGCACGGACTTGCTGCCGCCCAGCGGCGTCCAGCCCTGGGACATTCAGCGCGCCAACTCGCTCGCATTCCAGTCGTGGATGGAGGACCGCGCCAACATCGAAGCGCTCAAGGCCACGTTTGCCTTGTACTTTGGCGAAGTCACGGGTGAGCCGTCGCCGGGCCAGCTCGGCCTCCACCCGGGCAAGTAAGTGTGCGCGCTGCGTGGCACCACCCCATGTGCATTTCAGCATCCCTAAGAGCAAATGAAGCTTTGGATCTGTAATTTTGCATGCATGTTGTTGGAATGAGTCCTACTAGTACATTTTCTGTTTTTGTTACACGGTGCGTTGAGAGGCGGGCGTCTTTGGCGATGGTGCGTGTTTTGGTGTTTGTTGTGAGAGGATTTCCTTCGAGGCTAAGTGACGTCCTCTTGGCCATTCCCGACGGGTTACGCCACGGCGGTGCTTCCGATTGGGTACACCGCGCAGAGGCAGGAGGTCGGCCAATTGAATTTGCATGCGCGCAGCTGGATTTGAACCCGCTGTCCGTTCGAGCTCGAATTTAAGTGGAACGCCTCGACCTCTACACCTGGGGCCGACCCGCCTTGTTGCATGTTTGTCTTCCCAGCAACGCCTCCACTCTCGGTTGGATGCAGTCCAGCACGTACAGTACGAGTGATAGTGAAGCGCCGCGAGGCTCCGTGGATGACGCAATGCGCGCAGCAAGGGAAAGTGCACTGATGACACACTCTCAAGTGCATTAGCGACGACGCTACATCCAGCGGCGTGAGTTCTGCCACCAGAGAAACCAGACGACGAACGGACCCGCAATGGCAGCACCAATGGCCGCCACGACAGAGCCCCCGCAAGTCCGAGACCAACGACGCCAAATGAGTGAAGCACGGCGACGAGGGACTCAGCCGCAACAGCGCCCCTGTTGGCGACAGCGGCCGCCGACATCGTCCCAGCAGCTCCGCTTCCGCTGCGAAAATCTCAGCTTCCGCAAACCCAAGCGCCGTCACGACGCCTGTCGTACCGGCCGCTGCAACAACTTCGACCACAGCACAATGGAGCGTAGAGCTTGGCTTCGAGGTACGCGACCGTGGCGTTCGTGAGACCCGGCACCAAATAGAAGAGATCGTCAACTTCGTCGTGCACCGTCGGCACTATCTCATCGTCGTCCTCTCCATCGTCGTCGTTTTCGTCCTTGGGCGCCTTAGCGGCCGGTGGCGCGAGGTCGTTTACGACCCGAGAGTAGGCAGGAGCGTCGAAAGCGCGGCCTGGGCCAACGGCTGACCTTGGACGCGTCGAGGACTTGCAGCAGCTGGATGCGCGAGCTAGCGCCGGCCTTTCTGTCTCGTGCTTGGGCGTGCACTGTGTACAATTGACTAAAAAAGCCATCGACGTCGCGGCGCTGAGGTCGGCCAATGCTTCCAGAAGCGTGGCCGGATCCAAACGACCGTGGACTGACGATGGAGCTCAAAGGCTCAGCGCTATGAAGACGGCGCAGCCTGCGCAAACGTTAAGAAAAATCTGTTTCACTAGCTTGCCACCTCAATCAAAGAGCGCATCGGAGGCCACGTTGGGCGAAAGATTCGCAGCGGGCGAGGGGTTTGGGATGTCGTCGCGGCAGTTTTGTTGCTGGCTGCCGTGTGCAAGCAGCAGGACGTCAAGTGTGAGACGCTCGTGATGAGCGCCATTAGTCTCTGCGCCGCGAGGTGTCGCGCGCGGTCCGAACGCGACGCCGCGCGCGCACAGCGCCCACTACTGCGCTGGCGGCGGCGTGTCTCGTTGCCATGTCGCTCGCTGGTCATCGTGGAATTTGGGCCTCGGCGTCATCGTCGTCGGCGCGCTCCCTGCGATCTTCGGCACAGCACCTGCCCTCCCTATTGATGTCCGGTTATGTATCCGGATAACTCGACACGACGCCTCGAGCGCGACACGGTCGAGGCCATCGTCGCATTCCTCGCACAACGCTCGATGTTGTCGCTGTCAACGTTTGCCTCGGCGCGTCGACTGTATACCTCACATAGTGTTGTCGGCAAGCGCGTCGGCGTCATGGAATCCTGCCTCTAAGATAGCACAACGAACTTAGTTTAGAGTGCATCAAGCCTCAAAGATGGCACTACATTCTTAGTTTGGCGCGCATCTTGGATCGCGTCTCGCGACCGCTGTACGCCTCGTACGTCGATGCGACCTCGCATTCCGTACTCTCCAAAGGTCCTCTACTACTGTGCCAAGTCTTGGCCATTTCGTTTTTGAACGCAAAGCGGTCGACCGCTCGGCCTCGCGATGCTGCACCGGATATCCGGATAATGTGGCTAATAACACGCAAGCAAGCTGTCGCGGTGCGTTCCCGATTGCAATTTGATGGCCAGCGTCGTCAAAATACAAAATGGCTCATACGTCGTAGAGTGATTAAGTTTGCTTCGAATAGCACGGAGCACGAAGTTGCACCGTCGTGCGCGTCCTACAACGCTCGAAACTTCTGTCCAAAGTGACGCCGAACTGCACTGTATTTGCGGCATTACGAATTACTTGTACGTGGCACGTGCCACGTGTAA